GTACGTCGAATGGTATTCGGGAGAAATAACTCACCCTCGATAGATGAACTGATCACACTGCATAGTTTGCGCTGGCGTGGCCACGTGCTTCGTATGCCAGTCGACGGAATTCCTCGAAGGGCTCTTTTCGCGCAACCACGTGAAGGGTGGAAGAGAGCCAGAGGCGGTCAAATAATGACTTGGCAGCGAAGTATGAAAGCCATTACCAGCAAACTCAGCTGCGCTGGTCACTGCTGTCTTCCTGGATGGGGACCCCGATACGGGCCACATCAATGGTTATAGACATTATCAGACATGGCCCAGTCGCGCCCTCAATGGAGCTCGTGGATTCAAGCTATTGCCTTCAATGCATAGCTTCTTTTCCAACCCCCGTCCCATCCCACTTGACAGCCCACTGACAGTGCTGGATTCACGCATCAATTTAATCAGCTCCCGCCTGCAATGCGCACCTACCTACCCCAAAATCATCGGTGAACGAAACTGCGGCAACTACAACCACTGTACGACGAGTACGCGGTTATTACAGCTGATAATGATGATGATGATGACTCTCGGATAGGGAAAGCCAGGGCAGCTTTTTCTACCCTCCGACACCTATGGCGTTGACATGACGTCAGTCTGTCTGTCAAGAACAGAGTTCACACTGCGGCAGTGCGGTCCACACTCTTCATGGATCATGGCGCGGCCCCTTTAGGCAGAAGACGTACGATATCAGTATCTGACCATCGGTGCATCCGAGACATTGAGCGATTTTAGTGGGAACATCAGGTTAGTAGTGCTGGGGTACGCCAGATGGTTTTCGGGAAAGTGGGGCAAGATGGCTCACTGGTTAGAGCGCGAATTTACTACCCGGAGGTCTGGTTTGAACCCGACTTCTTCGTGTCGGATTCTGTTTAAACTGGGGATATCTGGCAGTATACCAGCCCTCATGCTTCCTCCAGTTGGCATGGCAGCTAGGCACCAAAAGGGCGTTACAGTTTATTTCGGGAAAGTTTACTCTCCTTCTGCAGGTTGATTGGTCACACTCCATAGATTACTCTAGTTAGGCCGTGTACTTCGTATGCTAGAGGACCGTTTGCTTCATAGGGCTCTTTTCACCTGGCGTTGTTTCGTGTGGAACCGACCAAGATGCATTCAGTCCATGACTTGACAACCAGTCAACTGAGTCGCTTTGCTATCTGCCTTTCTCCCTACGTAGATCGCGAAACGAAACAAACGAATGGCTAGTGAGTGGCAGGTATGGCTTTTCAGGCAGCGAACAACAGTTTTCCTTCACTTCGTAGCTCCCAATTCCTGCTATACTGGACAAGCAGATCCATTTGTCGTCAGTGCACAGATTGGGCGGCGTAGCTCTCATCCTCTTGTTCTCCTTATTCTCGGTTAACAAAGCCGCGCAACTGGAACCACTGCACCTCGGTGCATGGTTTATGAACTAAAAACTGGTTTCAACTGCTCAGGTTCGTCTAATCGCAGCACTTCTTTCGCCACACCCACGCAAATCTGAACTATATCTCGCATTTACTTCCTAGCAGCACTTCATTATGGTATCGCCGGGGTAGTTTGTTGTTTCGTTTATGTCTGCACTGTCAAACACCCCTGGTTATCACATGGGCCGTCCTCAGGATTGGTGCTACTCCTGCTATGAGATTCCTCCTCGGGGCGTTTCCTCAGACAATCCAGCCGGCCATCTTCTGATGGCTATGCGCAACAGAGACGAGAGGCCGAATCTGAGCGCAGCTTTCATGCGACTCCAGGCTGTGGCAGGTTTTTCTTATGCCTCGGACCAATCCCTGCTTTCGGGTGTTCTTTCCATTCTCCCATGGCAGCTCATATTTGTGCCCTGTGTCAATTCAGCGGAAGTGGAGTGGCCTACTACGAACTTGGTCAGGTGAGTACCCACAACTCATTCTTTATACTTGATAACTAGGCCTTATCAGGTATGTTTTTCAGATTATCGAAATGAGTTCCCACATTTGACCATTCCCAGTCCCAGTACGTCCCCTCCTTTGGGATAAGGAAGGCCACGCCAGTTTCAGTTGGATAATCGTAATGACAGGGGGGGGGGTAATAACTAAAACGGATCATCGCAACTGAGCGCTTTATACTGGAAGCAAACCATATTAGATGCTTAAGGTTACATACTGTCTTTTGTCTCTTACGACGCACCATATCAGAACCTCTAAAACCATGCACTTTTGTAGCTGCTGGTGTCTTTCCCGTATTGGGTCCTTCGACGGACTTTATACTCTCCCAAGGTAATGGCTGTTGATCTATGAATCCGATATCCTCCTTCTAAAACGCTGCATAAGGAAGGTAAAGGCTTCTTTCAGTGTTTCCACCACTATTTATACTCTTGTGAACTCAGACCCCTGCGTATTGCAAAGAAGACGAAAACATGTAGACGGTCCATTAGCGGCGCCATTAGTGACAGCCACAATTCTCTCAGAAATGCAACGACTTGTCTAGCCATTTGAGAATGTGTCCAGTGCTCATCCGGAGAGGAAAATTCGATACAGTACGTTAGAATGACACAATATGAAGATTACTGTTGGCTCTCAGCAGTTGAGGAATAACATTGAACTACATGCTTTGTTTGGGCCGGCCAGATGGATAACACAAACGATGTTTGGCTGTGACCATACGATAACATGAAATCGTCTTCCGCAAGACTGAACCGTCTTGTTCCAAAATTTCGAGTACAGTGATTTGCTTGATCCATTTTGCTGAATTGAGTTACTGATAAGCTTTATGGCTGTTTTGTTCGTATACGGACACAGTGTTGCTTATCAGTGATGGCCCGCGCCTCGTAACTATCTACTCATGGTAACTGCTCATAACTCCTTAAGGTATTCCTTCTGACTGTATGATCCATACCCTCTTGCTTTGATTTTATCACCATGAATAAACTGGAGCTTATTGTGGTGCAACGGTTTGCGTATCACAGTAAACCACTGTGATGTACTGGAGAACGTCCATTCAACACCCACATATTCTCCCTTACCAAGTTGTACATTGGATAGGGGTTCGATAAACAGTTTTCTGGCCCCCAAGTCGGATTTAGACAAGTATGGAAATTTGTCCCTCGAAATTAGGAGTAGCCGTGGCTAAGTTATTTTTACAAACACCCCTGGTTTCTCTGTTTTAAACGTTGCTGCGCCGAAGCACCTTCAATAACCTCACAGTGCAAAATTAGGTTTTCTCCTCAGTGTATGGGTTCATATGAAACCCTCAACCAAGCTAAGCACCACCCGGAGTCGGGAAATGTAGGTGCTGTTTGTAAAAGGAGAAAGGTTGGATATCAGAAAACAAGTGCTCCCAGGATAGTAAAATAACCTTTTCAGTGTTGTTTTCACTCTTTGGCAAACACATTACACATACTTAAGTGAGCAGATTCGGGTAGATCCGTTTCCACTTGTGTGCTTACTCTCGGAGGCCTCCTCAGGCCCACTCCCCGGGGTGCATGAACTGCGAGTGTGTTCTTTTGAAGAAACAGTTGATCATGTCTCAAAACATTCATCCCTTTCGCTAATCGTCTACATTCTTCATGCTCAAATCGTCGCGTTTCTTTTGTACAGTCCAACTTTCTGTTCTTTCAGGCAGACGATAATGCAAACATTGCGTCCTATAGAACCAGGCTTCCAACGTTCCTGGGCTTCAGGTATTCCTGGCACTATTGCGTTAGCAAAAGTGGACTGTGTTCTCGCCGTAGATCGACATAGCCGCGTGTACAGATTTGATCCAATCATTAAGAGATGGTCGGCTACAACGGACGGTGTCAAACCCACAGTTTCTGGTCTACTCAATGGTTCGTCATCCGATGTCCCTCACACACCCCATCGATTATTGATATTGACAACGGATCTGGAGGTCTACGGTTTCCGGCTGTGTAAGCCAAATATGGTCGCCTCAGAGAGCGGGGACTATCAACTGATCTCTAGTGAAAGCGAATCGAAAAAGCTTGTGAAGTCTTTCATTAGAAACCTAACCACAACTGTGGCGCATATTCGTTCGTCTACGGGAATTGAGTTAGCTGTAGAGTATTTCAACCACACCGGTTCATATCCTCCCTTTACGGAGCGAACCACTCAACAGCATCTGGATTTAACCGTGTCTCCGAAGTCCATAGACCCGTTCAAACCACCGGTTGATACTATCCTCGACCAGTGTTTCCGTGTAAGTGACGATTGTGTGCCCATCTTATATCATTATACTTTATTTTTGAGGAAATTCACTAAGAAAGAAGATAATGAATGGTTAAGAACAACTTGTACGGGGGAACGTTGAAGTAAAACCGGTGAAAGAGTGCATGCCATCTATGATTCTTCAGGATAGGTGTGGAGGGTCAAATAACAGACTGGGTAGATAGAAATTTACAATCTCGTAGCTAGTATGCGATATTTGAGGCTCTACAGGCCGTTGACGTTACTAGAGTCAATTCAATTCAATTTATCAGCTATAAAACGTATATCATAGACATACTGATTCCAGCTTCTACAGTTTCGATCACCGGAAAACGAGAGTGTGGGACATACAACCAAGCCTTGGAGGCAAAGACATGTTCAGTTTGTTCGGAGATTGGGTAGCTACGTATTGAAGGCGATAGCTTTGATACACGAGCTCCACTGACTGCCCGATCGGACCATTTTTGCCAGTGCCATTAAGCATTAGTGATTTGAGTCCTGGGGTCTCCATCTAGGGAGGCGGGAGTTGCCAACCCGACTAAGTTTACTGGTTGGTATTTTCGCACTTCGTTACCAGGTCATACACTGTCCATCTCTCAGTCGCTTCCACTCAACAAAGCTGAGCGAAGAGAGCTCTGCGGGACTGACGGTCTTCTGGCATGCAGAGTATATGTCCCAACCAGCACAGCCTGTAGAGTGAGTAATTCATCTATCGCGGGAAAGTTCATTCTTCCTAAGACTATCTGGCATAACTCAGCATTGCGGGAAACCTTGCGCAAATCGGTCCACCAATTCCGGCACTTCAGCCAATTTTCCTGGTGTTGATAAACTAGCTTTGGCCCAGAAGACATGCGCATCAGTGAGGTAGTCATGTGACCACTTGCATACTTTCTACTAAATCGACGTGGCATTGTGTTCAATTGCTGGCAGGGAGGTCGCAGCTTCGAAACCCCTTACAGTTTTCTGAGATACACACTTGTCTTCTTTTGCTGTACAGCATAGATTGGCTTCCTTTATAAGGTAAAATCTCCGTGGGTAATTCCTGAATCTCATAACATTATCAGCAACTTTCAAAGATCGTTAGATCGGAACCCTGCTGTCTCGATTGATGTCCAAATTGGACTCGATGTCAATTTGAGGTCTCTGGCATTGAAATAGTATGGAAATCCTACCTCGACATCGAGTCATGTTTAGATTTTCATTGGGCAGGTTTAAAATCCCTGTAAGTTAATCTCGACAGTTTTGTNTACTTTATTTTTGAGGAAATTCACTAAGAAAGAAGATAATGAATGGTTAAGAACAACTTGTACGGGGGAACGTTGAAGTAAAACCGGTGAAAGAGTGCATGCCATCTATGATTCTTCAGGATAGGTGTGGAGGGTCAAATAACAGACTGGGTAGATAGAAATTTACAATCCGTAGCTAGTATGCGATATTTGAGGCTCTACAGGCCGTTGACGTTACTAGAGTCAATTCAATTCAATTTATCAGCTATAAAACGTATATCATAGACATACTGATTCCAGCTTCTACAGTTTCGATCACCGGAAAACGAGAGTGTGGGACACACAACCAAGCCTTGGAGGCAAAGACATGTTCAGTTTGTTCGGAGATTGGGTAGCTACGTATTGAAGGCGATAGCTTTGATACACGAGCTCCACTGACTGCCCGATCGGACCATTTTTGCCAGTGCCATTAAGCATTAGTGATTTGAGTCCTGGGGTCTCCATCTAGGGAGGCGGGAGTTGCCAACCCGACTAAGTTTACTGGTTGGTATTTTCGCACTTCGTTACCAGGTCATACACTGTCCATCTCTCAGTCGCTTCCACTCAACAAAGCTGAGCGAAGAGAGCTCTGCGGGACTGACGGTCTTCTGGCATGCAGAGTATATGTCCCAACCAGCACAGCCTGTAGAGTGAGTAATTCATCTATCGCGGGAAAGTTCATTCTTCCTAAGACTATCTGGCATAACTCAGCATTGCGGGAAACCTTGCGCAAATCGGTCCACCAATTCCGGCACTTCAGCCAATTTTCCTGGTGTTGATAAACTAGCTTTGGCCCAGAAGACATGCGCATCAGTGAGGTAGTCATGTGACCACTTGCATACTTTCTACTAAATCGACGTGGCATTGTGTTCAATTGCTGGCAGGGAGGTCGCAGCTTCGAAACCCCTTACAGTTTTCTGAGATACACACTTGTCTTCTTTTGCTGTACAGCATAGATTGGCTTCCTTTATAAGGTAAAATCTCCGTGGGTAATTCCTGAATCTCATAACATTATCAGCAACTTTCAAAGATCGTTAGATCGGAACCCTGCTGTCTCGATTGATGTCCAAATTGGACTCGATGTCAATTTGAGGTCTCTGGCATTGAAATAGTATGGAAATCCTACCTCGACATCGAGTCATGTTTAGATTTTCATTGGGCAGGTTTAAAATCCCTGTCAGTTAATCTCGACAGTTTTGTCGAGAATGCCCGAGGTCAGTGGTATGTGGACAAGCATGTCTGGCCGTACGTACAGAACGAAAACGGCTGTATAGTGTGAATGTCACGCTTAGTTGATTTGCACTACTGCTGTGGCCCAGGTAGGAAATAGGATTGTGGATGGTCGTTTGTCTGTTTTCAAAACCGGGTAATTTGGTTGCAAACGCTTCGTTGAGGTGGCACCATCAGTACAGTGTAGCGGTGTGTCCGTGGTTGTGCGTTCTGTAGCTATGTGCGTTAGAATGCGTGGCGCTACTCCGAACTGACTTTCGATTATGAGTGGCTGTTTGCTTGGACAGTCCTACTGGACAGCCCTGTGTTCTCATTCGTTGATCTCCACGTGACCATTGAGCTCGGCCTCCCCTAATTCAGTCTTTTCTTCGGCGAGCTGCAGGCCATACGTTCATATGGTGACCCTTAAGACCATCTGCATTTATCATCCCACAGAAGTTTATACCGAATCAGATAATTTGATCAACTTAAGGTTCTTAGAAAAAGATAACATGGGTGCTTCTGCAGTTAGACGCACTCACCAAGTTTCCGTCAAACCTATGTTCTGCTACTGTGTTCTGTCTGACGAGGTCCAAGAAGGACGAAATCGGTCGAGAGTTGTCGAAGGATCGTCAGCAACATCATGATGAACCTTCCGTCAATAAAATATTCTGCGCAATGTCAAATGTCGTACCCGATGAAATATGAGGCGGTCTCTGTGCAGCACATTTATTTGAAGAATGGCATACACGAGAGATTCAGTTGGAATTCAGTTGGATCTCTCATCAAAACTAGAATAGTGTACAAATAAGTGTATTTAGCAGGACGCGTCCAATTTAGGTCCAGATGGAGCATAGGGTTGACGAAAAATCGGAGACCGCACCTACCTATGAAGTCCCAAGAGAGGCTATGGGCTTTCGAAAACTTTTCAGCAACCCTATGAATAGCTGCTTTCCCTACCAATACTGTTCAGTGTAGAATTCTTGATGTACTCTAGAAAACCCAGTTCAGTGACACGCGGAATCACAAGTCAAGAATCCTGGAGTCTTCAGGCTTTCCATTATATCAGGGCAATACAACCATAAAAATGCATAAATAAAACCTCAGGTTGTGCGAATTTCCGTCTAACTTGTTGCACGAGCAAGTTGGGGCAAATTTAAAGGAAGCGTTAAGATGTCATGAACAAGCTGTCGAACCAACGTACGGCAGATCGGTCTGATATAACGACAAACGTGTAGAAACGCAAATGGCCTTAAAAGTCCGTAAAAATAGTCCAGCAGGTCAAGGGTAGGATGTTCATGAGAGCTCACGCATCCTTATCAAATCTGTGAGGTAGACGCAGGGGTAAGTGGAATGAATGAACATTGAATGTTTCCCATCCATTCACAGTCTTAGTGCCAGTCACACAACAGTCGTGTGGTTGTTTCTGGTGTGATCGTGTCTATGGGTGCCATGTCTGTTTATCACCAAAAAAAAGTCCTGACAGTTTACCGGGTTCCAGAACAACTAGCCACAAAGCTACGTGAGTAAAAAAACCGTCGAAGGTGGATCGGATCCCCCTGATGGTTGATTCAAATCATCCTGTTGGACGCCCCTAAACCCCGGTTTCTAGAATGCCTTTGGTGGAAACATACGTTCTGTGCGCGATAGTAGTTTGTTTGAGAGAGATGAGACCGCTCTGGCAATGTTTTGATTTTCTTCTTTCTTCAAGTCTAAAGTCGCCCGGTTAACTGAGAACTAAGCTGAGAACCGTTACTACGATGGTTGATTCAAATCATCCTGTTGGACGCCCCTAAACCCCGGTTTCTAGAATGCCTTTGGTGGAAACATACGTTCTGTGCGCGATAGTAGTTTGTTTGAGAGAGATGAGACCGCTCTGGCAATGTTTTGATTTTCTTCTTTCTTCAAGTCTAAAGTCGCCCGGTTAACTGAGAACTAAGCTGAGAAAAATACCGTTACTACACCTTTATTGTCGCGTGTGGTCCGTTAGTATTCGGCTCACTGGTTGGTCCTAACGTCAGACGCTTCTGTGTGCACATTTACTCTGCTTCTCACATCACGACATCTGTCTGTTTACAATCGATTGCATCTTTTTGGATGGAATGTTAATTTCATGCTTAGTGTGGTGTATTGACCTGTATCGTTCGCCCGCTTCACTAATCTTGACCCACGTGACTTCCGGTAGTTTCAGGCTAATTTGCATACTTCTGAATTAATCATGCGGGCAGTGGATGACCATACTGGGTGACTAATCAGTATTTCCTTTTAAGGTGGGGTAGTCGATTTATCAACTCAGTTGTTCATGCATTGCACTTGCTATTTATTCAGTATACTCTCTATCTTTCTCCGGTTTTAAAACATGGTGATCTACAAACATGTATTCTAAGTCTTCTAACCAGATGGTGATGTAGGTTCTTCTTACAACATACATCTGTGTTTTTGTCATCGTAACCACATGGATGAGTATTGGATTGGAACAGTTTCGTTCAGAAAGTGATGTGAACCGTCAATAATCCAG